ACGTCCATAGACAGTTCTTTCATCTTCCTGAAATCCAAAACTCTGGCTCTGTGAGCTCAAAACCCATTCTGTGTCAGCAAAACACTCTGTCAGTGTCAGTGCCAACTACCAAGCCTATCAGTCTGAAATCAAAATCCTGTCTGAACCAACTTCAACCCCTGTCTGAATCCAAATCCTGTCTCAAATAGGTTCCACATCATCCACCAGGAAACAAAGACATGTGCAGACACCAGTTAAACCCATAACCAGACATCCCTACTATGGAAGAAGAAGAAGCCAGGGTGACATTTGGGGTGCCCCCCCCCCATTATGATAGGCCTATCTCCAACTCTCTGTCTTTCTCTCCCACCCCATTGCTCTCTTCAAATCCCCAAAACATAGTGTGTGTAACATCTCCCTACTTAAAGAGAAATTTGGAGCTCTCCAAAGCCTGTCCCTGATTTGTGTCTATTTGGCAATCTTCAGGAAAGTATTGGACTTAAAGATTCTAGGATGTCAGGGTTCAAATTCAAGAAAGATGTTGACAAGCTGGTGTGAGTCCTGATGAGGGTAACCAAAATGATGAAAGGTCTAGAAACCAGAAAGGTTGCCAAAGGGATCAGGCATCTTTTCACTCTCTCTGTTCAACTTGTATGGAAAAAATATCATATGGAGAGCAGGCTTGGACCCAGAAGAAGGAGGAGTGAAGCTAGGAGGAAGGAACATCAACCATCTAAGATATGCAGATGACATCGTAATATTAGCAGAAAACCTCAGAGACCAAGAGCAACTACTAAGGAAGGTTAAGGAAGAAAGCACAAAAGCAAGCTTTCTGTTGAACATCAAACTCCCCCAAAATAATGACCATGGAGGAGCTACAAAAATTTAACTTAGATGACGAGGACATAGAGACGGAAAAGAGCTCCCATACCTTGGATCAAACATCGATCAAAATGGGGACTCCAGTCAAGAAATCAGAAGAAGACTAGGAATGGGAAGGGCAGCCATGAACGAACGAGAAAGGATCCTAAAGAGTAAAGGTATGCAACTGAACACAAAAGTTAGAATAATTTAAGCCATTGTATTCTCTATTACCATGCACAGATGTGAGAGATGGACAGTGAAGAAAGTGGATAAAAAGAAAATCAACTCCTTTTGAGATGTGGTGCTGAAGAAGAGTGCTGGGGATACCGTGGAAAGGGGAAAGACGAACAGATGGAGCCAGAAATCTGCCTGGAAGCCAAGATGATGAAACTGAGGCTGTCGTACTTTGGCCACATCATGAGAAGGCAGGACTCATTGGAAAATAAAATAATACTAGGAAAGGTGGAGGGATGGAGGAAGAGAGGAAGACCACATGTCAGATAGGTATGAATTTGCAGGACCTAAGCAGAGCAATGGAGGATAGAGGGTCTTCTTGGAGATGTCTCATCCGTAGGGTCGCCATGAGTCAAGATCGACTTGAACAACAACTGGAAACCATGCATGTCTGGAATGGTCCAAGCCCCAGTCTGTAATATCTGGTAGATGGAAAGAAAAAGAAACCCCGAAGGTAGATGACTGTTTAAATAAATGTGTTGAAATGATGGAACTAGATGAACGGACAATGTTGATAAATGACACATATAAAGCTGGTTGGGAGGATGATTGGGGATTTCTGTTACAAAATTGTAAGGGAAGATGGTCCAAACGATAAGACAGATAAATATATAACAAGTCGTAAATATGATGTTTGAGCAGGTATTGGAAGAGAGTCTATGTATATTGATAAACAGATGACAGTTTCATAATTAAGATGAATGTCTAACTAATATCACTTACTTTTATAATTTGATGATTCACTATGATGTTTATTTGTGTTTTACTATGATGTCAGTTGATTGTTGTTTATTTGATGTCTGATCGGTCGATCGTAATAATAAATATATATAATTAAGATGTGTTAATATGCTCAACAGGTTAGAAGCAAACTATTGACTTGGAATAATGTATGGTGTGATGGTAAATGTCAAGGAAAGGAAGAATATATATATATATCAAAATGCTCAATTTATATTCAAGAGTTTGAGTAAGGTAGGAAGAAGATAGAAGATTGGTTTATGTTGTGTTTGTTTTGTATTTGGATGTGTGTTTAATTTAATGTAATAACATTTTTTAATTTGAAAATATATTAAAAGTCAAGTTTGAGTTACATCCGGAGTTATATTTATTAAATATGACAAATAAAATAGACCCAAACATAGAAAGGAAATATTGGAGGATTCTCCTTTATATGATATCGGCGGCAAGGATACAGATTGCTCTAAAGTGGAAACAAGAAGAGACTCCAACAATTGATGATTGGCTTTTAAAAGTGGTTGAAATGAAAGAGATGGATAGATTAACAAGAATACTTAATCATAAAGACCCAGAATCGACTAATGAAGAATGGGCTCCAACAGAAGAATTTTTAAAACTAAGATGGGAATAAATTGGCAAAGGCATGAAGTTAAAACTAATCTAGAAGGATATGGAAAAATAACTGTATAAAGTTATGGCTTATTTTGACTATAAGTAAGAGTATAAATTAACAGGTTAAGAGATATAGAAAGAGAGAATGTATAGGAAATAAGAATGTGTACTTACTTTTGAAGAACTATGGAGAAGGGTATAAAATGTAAATATGTATTGGATTAAGAAGACTGAAGGTTTATACAAAGCTATATTTTATTTATATTTTTAAACTAATAAAAATTAATTATTAAAAAATAATTTTTTTAAAAAAATATATCTGGTAGACTGTGAAATAGCAACAACAACAATACACAGACATATCCAACTGACTATGGAGATTATCGCATGGAGAATTTCCTTTTTTAACCCTTTTTAACCCTACTTCCATACCTCCTATTCCCACTTCCTAACTATCCTTCTTTCTTTCTTTAGTTCTTTCTTTCTTACCTTTCGTTTCTTCATTCCTTTCCTACTCGCCTTCGTTGGATTTTTCTGGCGATATTATAACTAACCTTCTTATCTCTATCTTTCTCGTT